CCCCCCCCCCCCCCCTTTCATTGTATCTCTCTGAACCACTTTGCCATTCCCAAAGCTGACTGGAACCTAATACACAGTTGTGTTTGAACGCAGAAATGTGTGGCACTTTTTTGGGAAGGGAGAGCGACTAGGTGTATAAAATCTCTTCACCCGTACACAGCTGATCCCTTGTAGCACTGGGAGCTTTGTGAAGGGCTTAGTGTAGTGGTTAAGAGCAGCGGACTCTAATCTGGAGAACAGGGTTTGATTCCCTACTCCTCCACATGAAGCCAGCTGGGTGACCTTGGGCCAGTCACCGTTCTCTTGGAGCAGTTCTCTTAGAGCTCTCTCAGCCCCACCCAGAGTGTCTGTTGTGGGAAGAGGAAGGGAAGGTGATTGTAAGCCACTCCGAGACTCCTTCGGGTAGTGAAGGGTGGGGTATAAAACTAACTCTTCTTCCTTTTCCCCCCCTCCTCCTTTATCTGGAGGCAGACAAGAACAGCTTCAAAACTGCAAGACTTAGGGTTGCCAAGTCCTTACCTGTCCCGAAGCGGGGGGAGTCCAGGCTCGCTCTGGGAGTCTTCGTGCGCGCGCACCACAGGCACGCCCCCACGAAGTGATGTAAGCACGTTGGGGACGTTGGAGGCGGGGCTACAATTATCCAAGGGAAAACCATTAGAGGTTTCCCTCGGATGATTGTGGCCTGTGACGTGCTTTGGGGGTGGGGTTCCCCCCGGGGCCCAATCTGGCGGCGCCGGGGAACGGGCCTCCCGGGTGGGGGTTTCCCCGCCCCCCGGGGGGACTTGGCAGCCCTAGCAAGACTGCTTCTTGTGGGAGGCAAAGCACAAGAGTTAGCCTCTGTTGCGTGTGTCTTTTAACCAAGCTTCTACAGTGTGTAGGCCAGTCTTGACTTCAGTTTGGTGTAGTGGTTAAGTGTGCGGACCCTAATCTGATAGAACCGGGTTTGATTCCCCCACTCCTCCACTTGCACCTGCTGGATGACCTTGGGCAAGCCGTAGCTGTGATAAGAGCTGTTCTTGAAAAAGAGCAGTTTCTGTCAAGAGCTCTCTCAGCCCCACCTACCTCGCAGGGTGTCTGTTGTGGGGAGGGGAAGGGAAAGGAGTTTGTAAGCCTCTCTGAGACTCCTTTGGGTAGTGAAGGGCTGGGTATAAATCCAATCTCTTCCTCCTCCTCCTCCTCCTTCTATTTTCCCAGTGCATGTAGCAAAATGCACATCAAAATTATGATTGTAGCCCTCCAGAATGGACTGAGCGGGAGTAGCCATGTCTGCCTGCTGCAAATTCCCTGCTGTTTCATGAAAAGAGCCAGTGTGGTGTACTGGCTAGTATCTGGGAGATCCAGGTTTGAATCCCCACTCATGCCGTGGGAGCTTGCTGGGTGACCGTAGGCCAGTCACATCCTCCCAGCCTAACCTACCTCACAGCATTGTTGTGAAAATAAAATGGAGGAGAGGAGAACAATGGAGGCCAGTTTGGGTCCCCCATTGAGGAGAAAGGAAGGGTACAAATGAAATAAATAAAATGAAGGAAGATGGAGATTGGGTTTATACCCCGCCCCTTCACTACCCAAAGGAGTCTCAGAGGGGCTTACAGACTCCTTTCCCTTCCCCTCCCCACAACAGACAACCCTATGAGGTAGGTGGGGCTGAGAGAGCTCTTGACAGAAACTGCTTTTGAGAGAACTTGTGCCTGGCCCAAGGTCACACCAGCAGCTGCATGTGGAGGCGTGGGGAAGCAAACCCAGTTCTCCCAGATTAGATGCTTCTGTCTCCCCTGCACTATTTCTCTCAGTAGGCATGGTAAAAACGCTGGTGCTGATAATCACAGGAAGACTATTGTTTTTAGAGCCATGTGCTAAAGCTGCCTTCTGGTTCCTCTCCCCCCCCCCCCCCCCCCAGCCTGTGAGGGAGGATTCCCCTACCTCATCGGGAAATACGCTCAAGATTTCGGCGTGGTCGAGGAGGCGTGCTTGCCTTACACCGGCACTTCCTCTCCCTGCTCTCTGAAGAAGAACTGTTACCACTACTACACGGCTGACTACCACTATGTTGGAGGGTTTTACGGCGGATGCAACGAAGCACTGATGAAGCTTGAACTTGTTAAAAACGGGCCAATGGCCGTCAGCTTCCAGGTGTATCCGGACTTCTCAGCTTACCGTGGGGGGATCTACCACCACACGGGGCTGATGGATCCTTTCAACCCCTTCGAAGAGACCAATCACGCTGTCCTGCTTGTGGGGTACGGCAGCGACCCCCGTACTGGCGAGCCGTATTGGATCGTGAAGAACAGCTGGGGTACCTCCTGGGGGGAGGACGGCTACTTCCGGATCCGCAGAGGCTCCGACGAATGCGCCATAGAGAGCATCGCTGTGGCGGCTTCTCCTATAACCCA